TCGTATGCATGCAGTCACCACAAGGCCAGAAAAAGACATTTGATCTCCTGAAACCAGAGTCACAAACAGCTGTGAGCTGATTTGTGGGTACTGGGAACTGAACTCAGGTCTTCTGCAAGAGTAATAAGTTGTTCCATGTTCTTAACCATTGAACCATCAGTCCAGCCCTGACAATAGAAGCTCTTCCTGGCATGGTCCTGCCACCAACAGGCAGCCCTGAGCGCCCCACATCTGTAACCCTTCGTCCTGTGGGCATCCTAGCTCTCTGCTTTCACAACAAGGGCCCAGACTTACTCACTGGAGCTGCCTGACAGTACAGCGTAAATGAGTAGACAGGTGGTCCCTCCCAAGGGTAGCCTGCCTCCCCCAAGCACATTCCCCTCAAGGGGAACTGACACTTGCAGTGAACCTTTGAAGATGTAGAGTGGAATGGTCTGCAGGGAAGCTGCTGAGCTTGCAGGGGTCCTTGGAGGTTTGGGGGGTTCCTGCTGCCCATCGCAAAGGGGTTCAGTGACTCGAGCTGCTTGTGGACATGGCTGTACTTTCTGTCCCCTACTGAATTCCCAGGCTGCCTCCCCCTGCACACACACTGCTTTCTTCTTGGGATGGGCAGAAGAGGAAAACTTGCTTCAGTGTCCCCCTGCGGGGACTTGATCTAAAGGTTCTTATCTTGCATGTGTTTCTTTTCCTTCTGATTTTTATATCCATATTTAAATCACGCTCGGGGAAGTCATTTATTACATTCCCCAGGCTCACAGTAGAAAGCATATGAGATCCTTGATAAACTTAATATATTTATATTAAAAATTAATAAGAAAGCCATATTGTTTCCAACTTTAAATCATAATTTGATCTCATTCGTTTTATTTAATACATGGCCACAATTCTAAAATTGCTTTAAAAAATATGATGAGATGGAAATCAGTTCTGGGGGCCTTTTCTTTATTTCTCAGACAGCCCTGTGCCTCTCATGTGGCAGACAATCTACATTGCCATTTCCGGTGTGACATTTAGAATATGTGCGTGGGTGCAGCACATCCCACTGGAGGCTTCCAATGAATCCTCTGTTCCTGACTGTATGCAGGCCCCTTTTAAATGCTACCACTAAAAAAATAAAACTTAATGGAAAGAGAGAAGCTTTCCCCAAACCAAGCCTGCTCGGATTTTATATTTCCTTAATCTGTTTTATACGCCACTACAGGAAATTAAACTGGAATTGTTCTCTCTGACACACACGTGTGTAGCATTTGGGAGGCTCTGAGACTCAGAGCTCCCGGCAACAGTTGCTCTGGCTTGTCCAAGATTTACTGCAGCTTCATTTTGAGGGGTGAGGTGAGAAGAAGCATTCTTCTCCTTCCAGCTAAGCTGAAGAGGTGTCCCGAGCTCTCAGGGCTCTCTTCTGTCCCAGACAGGTACTGGGCCCAGGACCATGGTAGACACAAGTGGCATCCGGGACAAGAACCAGATGTTCCTCCATCATCAGGTCTGCCCTGCTCGGCATGTCATGCAAATGCATGAAAGTTGTTGGCAGAGTTAGCATTCTTTTCTTCTTCTCTCAATTTCTCTCCCATCCATGACTATTGCTCAGAGAAAAGCATATGTATTAATTATATCTAAGCTCTGGCTTCTATACAAGTGATATACTTTTGTCCTTTACCCCCCCCACACACACACACTACTATCTTCACGTCAGTCCTCAGCCCCCTTCCTGTACTCCTCTCCTCTGCTTCTAGCCACTGTGGTGCATAGAATCCTTGAACACTGGCTCCCTGCCCTCTTATGACACTAGTGTTGAGGTCACCAGCAAATGAGAGGACACAGCATGGCCAGCATCATTAGACCTGGGCCACCCCAGGGTCCTCAGGCTGTCTAACAAGCTACACCCAGGAGACCCTGTTTATTCTCCATGGTCACTGCAATGTGCACAGCTGGAGGCTGTCGCAGACACTGGGGTGGGTCCTGAGAGATAAACATCCCACCCTGCCCCTCTCAGGCCAGGTGAGTTGGAGCAGTTTCTTCTGATCAGGGCATCTGGCTGGACATTATCCCCTGCCTTCAGGAAGCAGTCTGGGCAGGGTGGCTGTGAGCTCAGATGGTGGCAGCTTCCCTGTCTGCTGGGCCCTGCAGCCCCAGTGTGGTCATAGGTCCCAAGTCTCCAGTGAAGCTTGGGCACCTGCCTTGCTGCCAGATGGCAGCTCTGCCCCTTCAGTGGACAGGAAAATTCTGGTTAGGACTGGAACTGCAGGAGGTCGTGAGGAAGGAATACTGGACCTAGAAACACGCTTGGGAAAACTCAGATCAGCCTTACATGGTCAGGGTGACAAGAAGACAACATTGTCATTTGGCCATCAGTCACGTCACAGAGAGGCTCAGGTCCTTCACCAGGTGGAAAACCAGCAGAAACAACCACAAGCCAAACCTTTTGGTCTGACTAGGAGCTGTGAGAACCACCAGCAGAGGGCGCTGTGCCAGGTGAGCCCTTTCTCGGGGTGGATGCAGGGCCAGCCAGGTCCTGTTTGCAGCAGGCTCTCCCAGAGAACATTCACCCTCCCCTGCACATCATAGCTCTGGACAAGCTGATGGGGACAGGACAGCCATAGTGGCTTTCAAGAATTTGCCACAAAGGATCTGATCAGAAGCCTCTGTAATGACACCATCATCCAGGTCTCTGCCTCAGACCCCAGCATGGCCAGCACAGCAGAGGACCCAGGGCAGTGCAGGGAAAGAGAATAAAACATGAGGCACCAGATGTTGCCTTTTAATCTCCCAGAGCTTGACTGCCTGCAAGGTGGGGCGGCCCCTGCTCCTCCCTTCCGTCCCCTCCAACAAGCCCTGCCTTGGGATATGTGGGCAGTAACTGCAGCAGGGCAGACCTGTGCAGATTAGCAAGAAACAAGTTCCCTGCATCTGCCCTGGCCCCTCCTGCGGGCCTGACCACTGCTGTAAGCCCAGAGCAGCATGGCTTTCTTTGAATGTTCTCTTTTTTTCTCCTAACTTCTAAATGTAACCCCCACCTCCCGCCCCTCCAACACCACACACACACACACACACAGACACATGGTGGGGGGCAGGCAGACAGTGAAACAGAGAGAGAGAGAGAGCGAGCGAGAGGGAGAGAGAGAGAGAGAGAGCGAGAGAGAGC